CATAGCACAATTTCTTCTCTATCCAGGAGTAAACTATTACGACCCCGTTTTTTCCATTTGAAATTTAAATGCTTCAGTAACGCATGGAAAGTTGATCGTTTGAAATTTGGCAACGTTGTATCTCCATTTACCTCCTGCAGTAGTTTATCTATAGTAGGTATTTCATTCCTAAAGAAGAATTCATGCACTTTCCTCCTAATCGCATGCTTACCAGCTTCATCCAATGATTTAACAATACTTTTGCGATATTTACTGGTCATTGGCTCAGAAAAGGTGTGATTTTTTTGTATTGTCTTAACACATTAAACACTGATGCGCGACACACCCCAACTTTGTGAGAAACCTTCACAACAATTTCTTTGATGGTTGATGCCTCGTTCTCCTCGCGCTCGATCTTATATATATTCAAAATGACCTCTTTCATTTCTGCACTCAGGTGTCTTTTTTTAGAGCGTTTCCTAGGTGGACTACAGGAGTTTACAACTTCATCGGCAGTATCTGTACTACTGGGCATTTTGCGCAAGCAGTTGATAACAATAACAATCAATAACAAGGTATAACAATAACAACGACAAACTCAACAACTTTATAAGATAACAAACGAAAACGTCCAAAGAAATATCAAATTGCAATAATGCACACGACATACGTAACACGTCTGAACCTGAATGTGACTCTGCCTTGATACGACTGCTCTGCCGCTCGGCATAGGCATTTAATTGCGAATTGACCAATGAGGGCTCCTGTTTTACGTCGAGACGGCGGCGTTAGCGTGAAAATCACCCGAACCTTTTGTTTACATCCGGTCTATCTCTTATCTGAATATACTGTACTAACCGCGTGAATGACGATATTGGCCTTCACCATGCACGGTACACACAGCCGGTAGCAAAAAACGCAGTACAGAAGCGATTGCCGACTGAAACGTACGACCACCGACGACGGCGCTTGTCCATCGGAGGACCACGTCGCACGGTAGTAGGACATATTTCTAAACCTTTCAAAAACTACAAAGCTTTTGTATACTTTGTGTAAAAATTACATCGAAACCAGTTGGCCTTTGATGTACAAGCATCGATGAAAATATAAACCTGGCTGGAAAGTTTGGCAGGCTTTAAACGCGGCGATATCGTGCAGGAAATGTCCGCTAGCATCTCAGTAGGAGAGAGTCAGATCTCGTCCATTCATCAGAACTTATACCAACACGGAATCAAATTATAATTAATATATGTACCGGGCCTCAGGACACGTTGGTACGAAACGTACAATTATATCGTTATTATATTTTGCATCTAAATTATAAGTCTGCCAGCGCTAAACTGTTACAAATTGTTATTAGCTCGTTATAGTAAATATAGCTGTAATCTTATGACCCGTGGATATCAAACGCCCCTATCCGCGATGTTGCAACAATTTCGTGACTTTAGAGATTCGTGAAGAAGAATCAGTCTTGATCCATCGTGCTTTTGATAATTATAAGCACACCTCTTATGAACAAGTAAATTCTCTAAACGTTTCAGTTGCCTCGACAATTCTATCAGAAAAAATATTCGGCATACTAACATCCAACAAATATTTTAGCTCTAAACACATGTTGAGATATATTTAGGATATCAGATTTTTTAGCAGAATCATATAGTTTTTTTTTTATATCGAAACAGCCGCGCAGGCAGAAGCCTAAATGCCGAAACACCGCGGCTGCTATGATGATCCCAAAGAAATTTTGTTGATACGATTTTTGAACTGCCTAAGGTTAGTAGAACTGGGAAAAGCTTCCTCCCGTAGATTGTTCCACAATCTAGACACCCTCGGGACAAAGGAGCGGTCGTATCGGCCAGTTCTGGATGTACGAAGTTTGACACGGTTAGGATGGGACGCCGAAGCCAGGCAGGTCTGTCTGGCAGGCACATCGCGCGGCGGCATCATGGAAGAGAGCTCTGAGGAGCAAAGCCCGTTGGTGTAGCGATAGAAAAGAGCTAGATCGCCGACGACCCGCCGGTGCGAAAGAGTCCCGAGATTGTCTGTTAGAGAAGAGTCATCGATCAGTCGGACCGCCCTCCTCTGGACAGCATCGAGCATGGACAATGTAGTCGGGGTGGCAGCACCCCAAATGTGTGAGCAATACTCGAGGCTAGGCCTTATCTGGGCCTTGTATAGAGTGAGAATGTCATGCGGAGAAAAGTACTTCTTAGCCCTAAACAAATAGCCTAGCTTTTTCCCAGCAGCTGCAGCTATTGAAGAGATGTGTTCGTGCCAGATCAGGTCCTCGGACTCCGACCAGCCGAAATGAATGGCTCTTTGGTAGAAATCGACCGTCCATCGAAACTGTATGAGCGCTAGGACGCTTTTTGTTCGTCAAAGTACAGTACTGTGTTTTGGAAGCATTGAACTGTACAAGATTGTTGCGTCCCCAAGCAGTGATAGCCTCCAGGTCTCTTGTCAGAGAAGAAGTCGTCGCTAGTCTTCTTTTTTCCAGCTCAGCGGCAAAGATCGGCTTGTCACTCTGAATTCCTGCATGTAGAGTGCTGTCATCAGCGAAGCTGTAGATTGGGCTGATCGTGCAGGAAAGGAGGTCGTTGATGTGTAAGAGAAACAGTGTTGGAGCCAAGACCGATCCCTGGGGAACGCCCGCGTTGACGTTGTGGGATGAAGAGGAGAATCCGTCAATTACGACGGATATCTTGCGGCCAGAGATAAAGTCAGCCACCCATCTGCAAAGCTTTTCTGGGAGGCCATAGGATGGAAGTTTGCTTAAGAGGGCAGCGTGCCACAGCTGATCGAACGCTTTCGTGATGTCAAGAGCAACGACATGAGCCTCACCATGAGACTGGATGAGTTTACTCCACAGTTGCGTGACGTAAGCTAGGAGGTCCCCTGTGGATCGTTGGTGCCGGAAACCGTACTGCCTGTCGCTAGTCAAGCTGTGACGTTCGAGGTAGTCCAGAAGCTCGCGATTTATGCACCTCTCCATCACTTTACTTATGACAGAAAGCAGAGCTATAGGCCTGTAGTTGTAAGGGTCGGTTTTAGATCCTTTTTTGGGATGGGCTGTACATGAGCAAATTTCCAGTTTTCTGGGAAGGTGCCGGATTCATAAGATATCTGGAAGAGACGCGAAAGAACTGGAGCAAGCTCCGCTGCACATCTCTTCAGTACAATGGCAGGAATCAAGTCCGGACCAGAAGCTTTGTTGATGTCGAGCGACAAGAGCACTCGTCTTACGGTCTTATGCCTGAATGTTACCTCCCGCATAGTGTGGGGAACCCTTTGAATTGACGGCACTTGGGCGTTGGTGGGGACGTCCATGGTGGAGTTGGCAGCAAAGATCTTGGCTAGCACTTCCGCCTTGGCCTTCGAGTCGAATACAATAGTTCCATCCTGACACGTAAGTGGTGGAAGGCTACTGTGTGAGAAGTTCTTTTCAATCTGCTTGGCCAACGTCCAGAAAGACCGACTGCCATTGCGCTGCGACATTACCCTGTGCCTAACTTTTATATCATGCTGGTTTTTGGCATTGCGAACCGCTTCGTTATATTTGTTTCTGGACTCGACGTCGGCTTGTCTGTTCTCTACAGTGGGGTTTTGTAAGTAGGTTCTGTGGGCCTTGATCTTCTGCTGGCGAGCTGTGTCACACGATTTGTTGAACCAGCCGTTGGACCCTGGTTTAGGAACTTTCACTGTGTGAGGGATGTATTCCTCCATTCCGACGTGGATAATTTCGGTTATTGAAGAACAGACAGTCGACGCATCCGCGTCAGTGAAACAGACATCTCTCCAAGGAAAGCTAGAGAAGAAGTCTCTGAGCCCCTCCCAGTCGGCATGTCCGTAATGCCAAGTTTTGCGGCCTGTGTGAGTTTCTGCTGCCACAGCGGCTTCTGACCGAAACCTAACCTCCACAACACCGTGATCTGAGTTACCCAGGGGGGACAGGACAGCGGTGCTGTAAGGGGCAGGATGCGTGGTCAGAAAGAGATCCAGCAGGCTACTGGCGTGTGACGAGACGCGGGGGAAAAAAGTAGGGCTCGTGACCAGCTGGGTCAGCCCTTGAGTAAGAGCGAACGCTTCGAATGCACGACCTGCTGCATCGGTCTTATTTGAGCCCAACCAAAGCTCATTATGGGCATTGAAATCACCGAGAAGAACTACCTCAGAAGCGGGGTGATTGATGTTCAGGAAGTCGATCTGGACGGCGAGGTATTCGAGTAGGTCATCTCAGTTATGGTTCGAGGGAGAGCGATAAAGGCAGCAAATAAATTTTGGTGATGTTTTGGAGCTGAGGCGAAGCCACAGAATGTCCTTCCGGTCTGATTCCAAAGAAAGATCCCTGGAGCAGGAAAGACTGCTGCGGACAAAAGCCACAACTCCCCCGTTCTTTCTCAGATTGGAGTGCACCTCGTAGTTTGGGAAGTTGAGATGGTTAATCGGTGCAGTCTCTGAGATTTTTGTCTCCGCCAAGAAAAGCACGGCGGGACGATTGGATTGCAGGTAGTGATGAACAGCATCAATGTTGCTGTTGATTCCGCAGATGTTCGAAAAACAAATTTTATCTTCGATGTTGTTCCCTCGAGCCCACCCTCCACCCGGACGTTCCGAGAGTGGAGTGAGTTTACGTCCGGAGTTTTTAGTGCTCGAGGGATCCATCATCATTAATTTCTTTGTTTTGGTAGATAACCGACTGCATAGCTTAGGTGTGGAAACATGCGGACATTTATAAGACACCCTGGGAAAAACTAGCGGGTGGTACTGCCTCGGTCGACTGGTCCTTGTCTACCACCTTCTAAAAGTCTGTGATACATGGCTTTCTCTAGCTTAATATCGAAGTTTGTGTGCCCCGGTATTTAGGCCTCTGCCTGGATATAAAGGTCTCCAGATTCAGTAGCTCGGTAGCCGTTCTGCAGACCACGTGCAATCTTCATTGTAAAAAAGCGGTGCGTGTCGCCTGCAGACGCCCCAAGCCGTAATCACTGGAGGTACATAAATTAAACGTATTTCCGAATTACCTGGAAATCATAATGCCTTTTTGCGCAGTCCAGCTCAGCGCCTTGCCTCGGCCGATGCGTCGAGACACCGTCGGTGAATTTTAAGTTGGCGCTGGCTGAAAAACGAAAAAAATCAGGCGAGGAATTTGTGCATTTGTCTTAATGATCGGACGATGCAAATGCCGGACGCGAATGTGACAGGAATTGCATCCGACAGGTTCATTATTCATTCCGATGGCCGCTGGCGGACGCCATTTTGAACAGATTTTATTTATTTGTTTGGGTATCAACGTATTCAGAGTCCTTCACAACAAGCTGATATGTACAAGAGGACTAGCTTTTTTTGTAAATCCACCTGCAGAGATTTTTCAGTACCTTTTGTTGAGGTGAAGCTCTTTTCAACAGAAGTTGAGGTGGTATTAAATAGCACTCATTCGTTCAGAGTCTGTTTGTGCATTTTTCACTGCATTTCTAAAAATAACGCCATGATGTCTATCAAACTTTCACCGAGCTACTGAAGAATGTCGTCAAGTGAGCACTAATCCCCACGATTAATATGAGTTTTGGCCAGCTATGTAACGGTGACCCTAGATTTGACCTTGATTATGACCTTCAAGCTCAAATCGAGTCGATTTTCTTAAATGAAACCCTAAAGTTTGACTCCGTAAATGTAAACGGCTGAGAATTTTTTCTCCAAACGTGGTTTTCCACTCTTAAATGTTGACCCTCGCAGGTCATGGTCAAGGTCAAGTCCAGGTACGGTGATCTAAGTTGAAAACCCGTAGTCTTATATATACTAAGTGACATATAAATCCGAACACCCAGTTTAAATGGTTTTATTTTAATAAAATTTTGTATAAGTATATGTACTTAATGAAGCATAATAAGTAAATGATAAAAATTTCAAAATGATTGCACTGCTTTAAAGCCCTTTGACCTTTAATAATGTGTGGATGCATCCTGATGTGCTACGCATTCTCCAACGCGCCTCGGCATACTTCTGATCAGGTGGTCAATGTCCTCCTGTGGTATCTCATTCCAGGCAACCACCAACTCCTCTCGAAGTGCTTCTAGAGTCTGAGGAGGACGTTGCAAATTGAGCAATCTCCTACCCATCATATCCCACACGTGCTCAATTGGGGATAAGTCGGGAGATCTTGGTGGCCATGGTAACAATGTGACATCATTATGTTGAAAGAAGTCTTTTGTGACTCTTGCAACATGTGGCCGGGCATTATCTTGTTGGAAAGTTGGATCTGCCAGGGTGTCAAGATAGGGTAAAAGATGGGGTTCTAGAACTTCGTGGATATAACGCTGTGCGTTCATGTTACCTCTGATGAAGATTAAAGGTGACCTGGAACCATAAGCTATAGCACCCCAATCCATAACTCCAACAGTGTGATGAACATGTCTTTCAACAAAAAACTGTAGATTCCTCCTTTCACCACGCCGCCTTCTAACCCTGGCACGACCATCGCGCATGCCTAAACAAAATCGAGACTCGTCACTAAAGACAATACTGTTCCATTCCTGATCCCAGAGTGACCGTTGTCTGCACCACTCAAGGCGATTACGTCGGTGTTCTCGAGTTAAAGGGAGGGCCCAGTGTGGCCGGTATGAAAACAAGCCAAAACTTATCATTCGTCGGTAAACACTTCGCATGCCAATAGGTCTTCCGTGTTCTGCAAACCATTCATTTGCAATGGACCTGGTAGTGGAGAAACGGTCCCTTAAGCCCAATAATCTTTGGTGGCGATCTTCACGGTCTGTTGTTCTACGGCGGCGTCCAGTGCCCCTTGCTCTTTGCGTACGGCCTTCTCGAAGCCATGCCAGACAACACCTAACCACAGTCTCTACACTTCTTTGCACTCTAACTGCAATTGCCCGAAAAGAAAGTCCAGCTTCCCGAAGTCCCACTATACGGCCCCAATCAAACTCACTAAGTTGACGAAATCGTACAGGTCTCCGTACTCTAGGCATCGTAACCGATCGTAAAGGATGTCAAGAACCAAAATCCGCCAACGTTGATTCTTTACTGCGGCTGAAATATTCATTTTTAGAGCGTTAGTGAATTAAGATAAAACAGTATAAAAACCGGAATGTCCAACTGATAAGGCTGAAAATTTTTTCACTTGTTATTTACCGTAAGATAAATACATTCACCAACTTTTATTAAAATAAAACCATTTAAACTGGGTGTTCGGATTTATATGTCACTTAGTATACTACCAAGACAATAATTTCATGATATCAGCCCAAATATCCAATTGTGACCTTGGATTTGGTCTAAACAATAATGACCTTCAAGGTCATGTGAATGTCAAGTCGATTTTTGCACCCAGGGAAAGACCTGCGAAGTCAGTTTATCTGGGAATTACACAATTATCCGAATTATGAAGAAATTAAGGTAAACCAGTGCTTGACCTTGATGATCATGTCCAAGGTCAAGTTTCAAACATAATCGAAGGCATATTTCAATACAAAATTTTCCTTTTTTATCATTTCCGTGGTCAAAGTATAGGATGGCGCTAAAAATAGTTGACCTTCAAATATCCTTGTAGGTCGTTGTCAAGGTCAGATCCAAGGTCACCATTGGATATTTGGGGGAAGATATCGGTGTGGTTTTCCTAAACTACTGGCTCTCAGGTTATATCACCGTACCTGGGTTCGACCTTGACCATGACCTCCTAAGGTCAAAATATAGGAATGGTTAAGACTATACAAACGTAAAATTTGCCGCTCTTTGAAAGAGGGATGGTTTCATTTAAAAAAATTGGTTTGACCTTGAAATGATCTTGAAGGTCACGATCAAGGTCAAATCCAAGGTCACCATTGAATATATGATGAAAGCTACTATCAATCGCGGGGCTTAGTTTCTTCTTCCATTAGTTGACAAATTATCGTGGGGTTCCCGAGCTTTCCAGACACCCTGAATAATTATTCTTGTAAATAACTTTAATACGTGTCAATAATGTGTTATTTCGCAGCGTGTCACTTTTGTCCTTTTTGACAACAAATTTGCGGCTTGTGACCTTTAGTCTCCAGAAATTATCATATTTTTTCGAAATAGAGAACGCATCTAACACAGCCCTATTGGAAAAACAAAACTTTTTCGTATTCGTCTCCATATCGGTCACAAAAAAATTACTTTAGCCTTTGTAAGGAGTCCATCAGATTTAACGAAGTGTATTGTTTCAGGTCAGAACAAGCATTGTAACTTTTGACAAAAATGAATTTTTCATGAAAAAGCGCGAACCCCTATTGTAAAGTTTCAGTCTAAATTAAGCTAGTCCACCCACCTAAACTACCTTGACAAAATCATATTAAAATAACCTTTGTCTATAATGTCTCAAAATATCAAAAATGCCAGAAAAAAGGGTAAGAAATAATAATAATCTGTACATATCTACTCTTATAGGCGTTTGATGTTGATTCAAAGGAGGAATTACCTTGCAAGAAAAAAAGTAAGATAGGCATTTGAATTTTAAATGGTCGACTCCTTATGCCTGGTCTCATCTACATGGTAGCAAGTTTGCATTCACTTGTCCACGGGTCCGAAATGTGTGGACGCGCAACCAATGGGCTAGTTGTCATTACAGACGGCTCATTACTTACCCAAGGAGCGCAGAGGCGTAGTCACGATATTTTCGTTCAAAGGATCCATCATTATCTTTGTCTTATAACAAAATAGGCTGACTGCGTAACTTCTGTTCGACGTTCTTAAAAAAACCTCAAAGAGGCTTTACTACTCGGTATGACTTTTTATAAAAGGCTTTTATCTGCAATTGACTTGCGATGGATGGTCGAGTTCTACCGAAAAGCCGCTCATTTCGGCTGGTCGGTGTTCAGATCACCCAGAAATTTTTCTGGCGGTAACACATCTTGACAATAGCGGCACCTGCTGAGAGAAAGCTAGACTATTTGTGCCCCACATGACCTCCTCACTTTGTAAAAGGTCCAGGCAAGACTTCGCATTGAGTGCTGCTCACATGTTAGGGATGCACAGATGTTACACTTGTTGAAGTTTATGAAAATGTTTATTTCGTATGTTTAAGACCAAAAGTAGTCCTTTCCGAAGTAGAAAAATCGCTTCAAGTGAAGGCTATTCCAGTGTTGGAGTTCCAGCACTGCTATAAGCAGTGGAAGAACCGTCTCCAGAGCTATACCGCTTCAGAATGTAGTTACTTTGAGGTTGACAATAGGAACTTGTAATTATATTTGAAAAAAAATATTCGTCTCATCATATAATTCACAGTCCTCGTATTATGATAGCAACCGATGGACGATACCAAATACTTATACGTATATTATCATAAATCAAGGAGGCTCTTTTTTTATTCTGGAACTAACAATTTGTGGCACGGTGGTTATTATTATAATAGTTACTAGATGCAACAGATTCCAGCGTCATCAACACTTTATTGAGTGGGAAGTAAAAGAACAATTTTCAGACCTCTCCCCGTACAAGCGTGAAACTGAAACTGGGTGCCATATTTCTCTGATATTATATCGCAGAGGAATGTCGGTGAAATTTTATATGTAGCATTAAGTATAATTTTTGCTAATCAAAAGTTATATCCATTTATAATTGGAGCCATTATCAGCATGTTACAAGGAATATTTGATATATCATCCAGATAGCTATTAAAAATATGGCGAGGTTGACATGTCTTTGGAGCAGCGTATGTGTATCGTTGTTATGACTTCCACTGGAGTTGTTAGCGGCAATTATTTTTATCTCAATACCTTTGCTATAATTTTTATGATACTAAGAAGATAATTACAAGTAGTTCTCGTTACCGCTATCTCTAGTTTTAACTTCTCACACTTATATCAGCAACCGATGCACATTTCGTATTCTACTAGCTATTTAATGGTGACCCTGGCAATGACCTTGAAGGTAATTCGAGTGTCAAGTCAATTTTTTTTTAAAGGAACCCCCATTTTTGACCCCATAAATAAAAATAGCGGAAATATTTACATTCAAGTATGCTTCACACGATTTAAAAAATTTTGATCTTAGGAGGTCATGATCAAGGTCAAACCCAGGTACGGTTATATAACTTGAACAGCAGCAGTCGTTTCGGAAAACTCCCGGGACATTATTTTCCTTATT